AAATAAGGATTTTTATAATAACATCCTTTAGGATTAACTTACTTTGTTTAAAACACATTTAAAACACTATATTGTAACCACAAGTAGTTTTATTGAAACTAAAAAAAAAAAATGTATTTTTTCAATCTTAAATCGCTGATAAAGAAATATCCACTAGTAAATTAAAACCACCAAAAATTAAATTTCTCAGAGAAACACTTTATAGTCAAGATGATCTATTTTTCAACACTATGCAATACTGCACAGTTTAATAATAAGTATAAACAAGCGTCAACAGTAATGTTGATTATATTTATACTTAAACATTAATTACGTTTTATAATTAATAGTATGAATCGCATATTCTAACATCGAGTGCAATAAATGTCCGCTTTCTCTATGCTATCTTTCAAACTCAACTACTACTGACTTTCAACCTAACTTACTTTGTTCTTTTTATCTCACTTACTCTTGGTTAGTGAAGCGAGTGATGATGCCCTATAGTGAGCAGAATTTGTCTACGCTGGCCCGGGTATGTGGCCTCTATATGGAAATTAGCCGGAGAAGGATAAACCTCAATACTCAAGCAAACTGCACAGTTTGCATGGTGTTGCAGGGTGTTGCATGATGTATAGTCATAGTAGTTAGAGTTAGAAACTCTACACAACTTTCATGTGTCTTCCCGACAAGAAATTTTCATGTGGGTCATATATGACAATTGCATGTTAATTATATATTTACCAATCTCCTTTATGGGATGGCTTAAGTGCGTTCCATATGTGGTTATAATGTTTAACCCACTAAAACCACACCAAAAAAGAATGTAACCCACCCTTCATTTTTGCGTGAAAGTTTCATGTGGCCCACTTGTTAGCATATGTTAGCAATACATTTATTACCTTTATGTGATGGCGTTGGTGCGTTCCATATGCGGCTATAATGTTTATCACTTTAAACCACACTATATGAGAACAAAAGACGTATTATTTTAATTAAAAATAATGCGGCTTTCACAGGAAAGTTTTCCGCATTAACAAGAACGTTTTAACAAATACATAATCAAATATTCAGACTGTGTTTAAATATCATATTTAAGCAAGTCAGTATATTTGTTAATGTATAGAATATACAAATAATTATACATATATACCTATAGAAATAAGTATCATACTGTATGTATACTTATTTGTATAGGAATACCGGATAAATAACTTTAATGGAAAAACATCATACTTTTTGCTTTTATTTATAATTTTGTTCACAGATAAATATATACGTATTACAACTTTTCATAAAGTTCATTCTGTATTAGTTCTGTAAACAAAACTAATCTCATGAATCATGCAATAAAGACGCAATTTTTTCATTAAATTTTTTATCTAGCATTCTTACAATGTCTTCGAACAGTAGCTAAAAATAGTTTTATATGAAATCCATGTACAAACAAAGTTGAGAGAAAAAAATCAATAACTACGAAAGTTTGCTTACATTTCCCGCTATTTTAAAATCTTATTTTTATCTTAAAAAAATTTTCGTTAAGTATAACTCTGTTTAGAATAATTAAGGTATAAGTCGTTAAGTATAACTATGTTTAGAATAATTAAGGTATAAGTCGTTAAGTATAACTATGTTTAGAATAATTAAGGTATAAGTCGTAAAGTATAACAACAAGCTTTTATTCGTTAAGTATATCTCTGATTTAAGAACTTTATTCCAAGTTTATTTTGAATAACCGCTCAAACATACCTACAGCTATGAACTAAATCACATGATATCATGAAATATTCTAGAGTTTACTACAATGCTTTGCAATGGAATCGTAGTTTACAACTGGTTAAAATTTAAAATTCAAAATGAGGCAAAGTTATGTGTTTTATATGTATGGCCCATACGATAGCCACATCTAATTTAGCACTTATTTAAGGATTATACCACATTAAGTGGAATAATTATGTGGATGCATTAGGTGTGCCTTACTGATCATCAGCTTCAGTGGTTAAAGTAGAAAAAAAAAAATCAAGAGGAACAGTGTTAAAAAGTTCAAAGCGTGTTCAACAGAATGCGGAATAACCCCTCCGCCTTCTAAATTATATTATTATAGATCATTCAAGTTTTTGCTGTATGTGCATTTTTATTCGGTGCGTTGTTGCTGTATTTCGAGGTCTCGGGTGATGACCAAAGTTACTATTTCTGTCCACAATTAATTGCTCATATCATAAAAGTCTAAACTAAATGCTTCTATTAGTAAAAAAAGAAATTTGAAATGAGCTCATTATTGGTGTTAAAACATAAACATACTAACATAAAGTACTAACATAAAGTAGTTATGTTCAATACTAAACCTGATAATATGAATACGCTAATTTAATATTAGTCGAGTTACGTCATTTTCTAGGCTTTTCTATTTTAAAGTAGTTTCTAGGCTTTTCTATACGCGGTTTTTTTTTTTAAATTTTATTTACTAACAACGCGTATTACGGGTTGCTTACTGCTAGTAAGTAATGAATACAATAGTAAATATTATTAAAGTGCTATGAGCGTTTTTAAACACTATAGAAATTTCCAATATGATTTTATTTCGGTTTGTTGATTTTCCTTTCTGCATGGTTCTTCCTCACAATTAGCTGTTCGGATTCTATGTTCACCCATTCTTTTGCATACTCTTTTGGCTAAAATTCTTTTAGCGGCGGACCTTCAATGCTTATAAATATCAATGATGATATATGTTTTACTGATAATATGCTTCGTACATCTGTACAGATGATGTTCATGATTGAAAAGTGTTATTTGATCCATTGTTTGAACGGAGGCACCGTCACTACAAAATCCTAGTAAATTGTCGGATCAATAGGAATCCGAAAATCTATGTCGATTAAGACAGATTAGGATCTGAGTTGCAATTTCAGCAGAATTGACTGCATTTAACTCTTGTAACTCTAAAAATATGTTAGTTGGAAAATCATCAAATGCATAACGAAGGTATTTAATAAAGCAAGCTTTTTTGGATGAATTTGTGCTTTCATCGGTTAAGATACTAAACGGATCGGAGTTTTTCTAAATGTAGCATAAAAGTTATCTTTTCATTTGCTCACTTATAAAATCAATTATGTCTCCACAAATAACATTTGAATGTACCACTCTGCCTGCGTTAACACAACTAACTTCTGTAGATCAATTAGCTCAAAATGGTCAGTATTATTTTTAGCAACATAGTATGCCGTTTTAAATATGCATTGAGTTGTTTCTAAGTCTGCATGGTTACTTTTTTCAAAGTTTTCTTTCAAATGCTCACCTTTTCTGAGTTTGAGAAGTATGCAAACTTGCCTATGGGCTTCAGAAACCTTGTGCTTACATATTTTCTTTCTTAATGGCATTGACTGCGAATTGCGAGTTTTGTCATAATGCATTATAGAGCACGCAGTCTATTCTGTGGAATGATTTTCTGGCTTTATTGTATTACAAACAGAGCATCCAATCTTTCCATTGATGCAGACTAAAAAACTGTTTTTAGCCTTGAACACATTATATTGTTTAATTGTCGAACATTTGGGAAATGATTGCTGCTCACATCGTTACAATTTTTTTCAGATGAGGCTGCTGTGATTTAGTGATTGTTGAAACATCGATGATAAAGAATTCAGTAAGTGGACTACATGATTGTTGAGGCCATGATGATGAACAACTCCTTGCTTTCGTGCTAGTAAAACTAGTAACTTGTAACGATGCATGATCTGTACCTTCGCCAGGCGCAATATTAACATGTAGTTTGGAGAGTGGAGGTCCAAGCAAAAAAAAATTTGACAACTTTTGCTGTTTATGTTTTGTAGCCTTTTGCATTAACGAAAATGGGAAGAATTTTTTATTTAACAATGAATCAATTACATATGTTCTGAAAAAGATATTAAAGGGATATTTAAATACAAAGTTTTAATAAGATAATGTTATTAATAATAACAATAAAAATAGATAATACAATAAACGAGAATCTTTTTAAAAAACACATTAACAATAACAACAAAAAATATTAAAAAAAAAACAACTACTAAACTTTAATTAATACGAAAACTGACAACAAAAAATAGATTAATGCATAAGTATTGCATGTTTTTTGAAGTCAGTATTTATTTATTATTAATAAATAATATATTTTTTGTTATATATTAATTGTCATATAGCTATTATAAATTATATTTTTTTATATAATACAGTATCTATATATTTTTAAAATCAGTACTCATTTATTATTAAGTATTTTCAGGGCCGTCCTGAAGAGATTTTAAAGGTGGGGGGTGATGTGTCTGTTTTTTAACGACTAAAGCCAAAAAAACACTTTTTGATCGCTAACTTATCTAAAATAGAAAAAAAAGAAAAAAAAAAAAAAGGTCCTCAACCAGTCAGGAATTTGATATCATATTGATATCAAAATGATATCAAACTATGATATATATGATAACATGATATTAGACGTTTATGATATCAATATGATATCAAAATGAAATCATTCATTGATATCATTTTGAACTCAAACCCTGATATCATAATATGAGAAGTTTATGATATTAATATGATATCAAAATGAAATCACTCATTGATATCATTTTGAACTCAAACCCTAATATCATAATATGAGAAGTTTATGATATCCATATGATAGCAAAATGAAATCACGCATTGGTATCATTCTGAACTCAAAACTTGATATCAAAATATGAGAAGTTTACGCAAAACTTGTTATAATAATTCCGCTATATTTATTTTATTTAATTATATTTTAACAAAAAAACATTTTACTACTATTTTAACTAATTATATTCATATAAATAATATTTTATAATTATTTTAAAAACTTTTCTATTTATTTAGTAAAGTTAAATTATATCGGATAAGTAAACATTTTTGGAGAAATCGATAGATGTCATATTATATATTTAAATATAAATTCAATATTATATTACATAACGCTTCGAAAGAAGTCAATATTTAGTCATATTTTTTTTGAAAAAAGTAATAGGCAGCAAATATTTAGGTAAAGCCTTAACAAAAAGAAATAAAGAAAATGTCCAAATTTGTAGATCGATCTTTGACAGATATATATTCAGAGAGATTGAGATATAGGCTCGGCTATAGCATTGCTTTAAATTTTGAATTGAGTTTTCGACAGATATACAGACTTGATCTAAAAGTCACTTTTTGAATGTTGCATTCTACTTCTTTTCCAAATAAAATTTAGATTTATTTATTGTCTGAAAACAATGTTGCGAGCTGAAAATAATAAACAAAAATATTAGCCACCAACAAAAATGTAAATTATTGCCTAAATATTAACAGAATAAAAATGATTTTTACCTTATCAACAAAGTTGTCTTATATTAAATTTTGTAACTTTTTTTCTGATAAGAGTTAATTATTGCCATCACACAAGCTTTATTGCTTTGCAATTCAAATTGCAGTTATAAACCTAGAAAACCTAGAAATAAATAAACATTATATCTCAGACTTATACAAAAGCATTGAAGAATGTGGCAAAATTAAATCAGTTTGTATAAATTTACAGTAAAAATTAAAAACTAGGAATTTAAACTTAGTATTCAAAAAACACTAATAAGCAGTCCCCAAAAGTTTCTAAAAGATGTTATATAACTTAAATTCATTCAAAAAATTCAAAAAGTTCAAATGTTATTTTAAAATATAAATATACAATTAGTAACTGTAAATAAAGCTTGTGGGTCTAATGAAGTAAATATAAATAAACTTTGTTCTGAAAATTTATCAAGTGGTACTATATAATTGACAGTGCTGCCAATTATATAGCCACAAAGTTTAACAAATAATGATCTTCCTAAACTCTGGAAAAAAAGACTCATAATAGAACATATCATTGTACCACAACATAATTAAAAAATAACACGTTTGCCTATGTATATATTTATTTAATTTGATTGTAAATATTTTTAAATTTAATATTTTGGTATTGCATATTACTATTTTAGCTGACATGAGCCATTGTCATAATTTCTTTGAACTTTAGATTTCATAAAGCATGATATCTTGAAATACACTGCAATTATAATCTAAAAATTTTTTAAAATATTAATTAATATTAAAAAATTAGTTTTTCAATATATACAGCCAGATAAAAATATATAGAACACTAAAGATTTTTTTTTTAAAATTAGTATATATATATATATATATATATATATATATATATATATATATATATATATATATATATATATATATATATATATATATATATATATATATATTATCTTATTCTAAAAATTGCCCAAAATATTTAATCTGTAACAAATATAATGTTAAGTGTCCCTAAAATGGACTATATTATCAATCAAAAAGCACTATATTATCAAAAAGGGCTATATATATATATATATATATATATATATATATATATATATATATATATATATATATATATATATATATATATATATATATATATATATATATATATATATATATATATATATATATATATACATATATATATATACTCTTATGACATTAGATACTATTTTATTAGAAGATCTCTTTAACATTTAACTTAAAAATTAAACAAAATCAACACTTAAACAAAACTTAAATACAAATAAATATTTAATTAAAATTAAATAAAATCATCCAGTCTTGAGGCAACAGCTTATATCATTCTTTGCATTAAATTTTTTTTACAAAATGCTCTTGATAATTTTTTTAAGCCACCCAGTATTCTGAGCTACTACTTGAGAAGGATATTGTATTATTCTTTTTATAGCTGATATCATAAGCTAAATGATTTAAACAATGAAAGTTGTAAATTAAATAATAGATGATCAGAGTAGAACACTCTGACGTTGTTCTTAAAGCAACAATGAAGTTCATGAACATAACCATAAATTTACTCAATTAATCTTTTCTGTACAGCTTATATTCAGTATAAGCTACACCTACAATTAAAAAATGGATGAATTTTTCTTTGCTGAGTATATGATTTAAAACCACTTACCCACAATATAAAAGAAAAAATAACAATATAAAAGAAAAAAAAAATATTTTAGACTTTGTTTTACAACATGGTTTACAATTAAATTCTATATGAATGTATTTGTTCAAGGAACATAAATAAACAGGTAATTAATTTGTTTAGATGACAATCAAAGAAGCAGCTCTTTTCCCAGATAAAATGTATATTTTTAGTACAAGCAAGGTCAACAGTTAAATTACGTTAAAAGGGAACTGCTGTACCATATCTACTTCAAGTGACTCCAAGACACTGATACCCTTGTAATGATTCTTTTTCCTCTAAATGTTTTTCAAAGTTCAATCCTTGGCCCTATACTCTTTTTAATTTACATTAACGACCTTTCAGATATTCTCACATCTAAGGTGGCATTGTTCGCTGATGATACTACCATTTATTTTTGTCACAATAAGAAGCCAACTCCCTCTGATTGCTTGCAGGGGGCATCTGAGCTTGAAAAGGATCTCACTTTTGCTACAGCATGGGGCTCACAGTGGCTGGTGAACTTTAATTCAGATAAAACTAAATTTTTTTCAGCCAATCGTTATCGCAATAATTTAGACCTTCCTATATTTATGAACGATAATGTACTCGATGAGTCATCTACCCTTCATCTTCTAGGATTAACTCTCACTTCTGATCTTTCTTGGAAACCTTATATTAAATCCGTTGCAAAATTAGCATCTGCTAAAGTTGCATCTCTTTATCGAGCTCGACACTTTCTTACTCTGGATTCTATTCTCTATCTCTATAAATCTCAAATTCGACCTTGTATGGAATACTGTTGCCATATCTGCGGCGGATCTTCTAATGATGCCCTTTCTCTTTTAGACCTGGGGCAAAAACGCATTGTAAACATAGTTGGACCTGCTCTTGCAGCCAACCTTCAACCTCTGTCACATCGTCGTAATGTTGCTTCTCTTTCTCTTTTTTACAAATACTATAATGGGCACTGCTCTAAAGAGCTAGCGTCTCTTGTGCGATCTACTGAAATTCATTCTCGTGTTACTCGTCATTCAATTAAGTCTCATCCTTTTTCTGTTACTGTTCCTAAGTGCTCCAAAAACTCTTATTTGTCTAGATTTTTTTCCTCGAACATTAGTTCTTTGGAATTCGCTTCCTTCATCTTTCTATCCTGATTCATATAATTTTCAATCTTTTAAGTCGTCTGTCAATCGTTATCTTGCTCTACAACCTTCATCTTTTCTCTTCCAGTAACTTCCAACACTAATTAGAGGTTGCTTGCAGCCTTGTTGGAAGCGAAGATGTTAAAAGAAAAAAGAAAGAAAAGAAAAGGTTTTAGCAGTGAGTACCAGTGGGCATAAAAATTCATTAAAACGTCATAGGTTTATTCCACCTTACAATCACATCCATATTGACCATTATAGAGATTAAATAAAAGCTTTAGCTGGTGCATCAAAAATTAAAACATTTTACCTTTTACTTGTATGACGTTTCCATTATTATAAATAATGTCATTTTCTATGAGGGGTTTTCCATAAATTATGGGTGCAGGTTTTGGGGGAGGAGTTTACCCAAAAACTTATGAATGTGTACAGGAGAGAGGAAGAGAGGAAGAGAGAGAGAGAGAGAGAGAGAGAGAGAGAGAGAGAGAGAGAGAGAGAGAGAGAGTGAGAGAGAGAAAAAGAGAGGTTAAAGACACCAAGTATGTACGTAGTGTGATTAATTCTTATTCTCTATTTATTTGAAAACTTGATTTCTTTTTTTATTAACATAAGCATAGGGTTTCTAGAGTTTAAAAAATTATTATTCTGTTAAGTAATGAAATTAATAATTTTATAATGTGTGATGTCACAATAACTAAAAAATTTTTGTTTTCAATTCTTTGAAAAAACTATGCATTGGAAAAAGGTTGGGGTATAGGGGTTGATTTTGTGATAATAGATATGCATGCAGTGAGAGGAGAAGGGGGCATAAAAAGCATACAGGTGTGCACAATGGATAGGGGTTCCTTAATAAGTGATTTTACTTTATGTATGTTCCCCGAAGAGTTCTCAGTAAAGTTTTTCAAATTTTCTAAACTAGCTGACAATTGTAATCCACAAAACAACGTCACAATAAATGGAACAGTTTCACAAATATTGTCATTATGATACTAAATTAGCCAGAGAAACATATTTGCACTTTTATGGATTTATGGATTTATGGATTGGCGGTCTGTCAATGGTTAAAGACTAACTTCACAAATTCTATAATATTGCTTAGATCTCAAAATACCACCTATAATTTTTTTATTACTATCTTTAATCAAAATACCATTTTTTATCCTAAAATACGTATACTCACCAACTAAACCAATAAAGAAGTAATATGATGCAACTAAATGCAGTTTAAAAAAAATAAAAAATAACATTTAAGTAAAAATAAAATAAGTGCAAAGAAATATTAAAAGTAAAGTATTCAATACAAAAATTAAATTTTTAAATAAGTCTAACAAATGAAATATCTTGGAAGATTTACAAACCTAAACTTATAGTAACATCTAAGTTTTAAGGCATTTTTAATAGCGTCATAACTTGTATTATAAGATCTACACAAAAGTGATTAAAATGTAGTTACTCTTGTTAGAGTACTGAACATTTAACAGTCCATCGACTAGATCTTCTCTAAATGTCGGCATAATATTTTTATTACTTTCATAATTACTGCTTTTACTATTGGTGGCAAGTTCTTAAATCTTTTCCGCTGCATTTATAGATTATCAGTCCTAATAACTCCTATTTATAGGATTTAATTCCTATTATTATGGATTTAGTCCTATTAAGCCCTTCTATTAAGTTCTATTAACTGTTATTTAAACAACCAGAATTTTTAACTTCTAGATATGCAACATAATTACAAAGGGTATTTATTCATGATATTCATATGAACTCAAAATTTTATATCCGCCATGATGGGTGGCAAAAAACTATAAACAAACAAAAGTCGGCAAAAATAGATCTGTAAAAAATGATTTGGTTGTAGCTTTCTTAGCAAACTATGCCATATCCGAATTATAAAAGTCTTTATTTATAAGTATTATAGGATATTATAATAAAAATTAGCGGTTCTAGAGATTAATTTAGATCCGTATTATTTATCAAAAGACTGTACAATTAATTAATTCTTATAGGCAAATAGTCTAATCTCACTTTACTGATATATTTTATCTAATATGTTATCTTTTTAAATCAGTTCACAAACTCTAGTCTTAAATTCTACAAACGTCTTAAATCTTACAACTTTGTAACCTGTTGTCTTGTTCATAGCATTCCTTTTAAACTTATTTTTAATCAAGATAATAAACAAGTTAAAACAAGGTCTATGGTCTATACATACAGTAACTGGTCGTATAGGTCAGAGTACTTTTTCTAAAACCCTAATGAATTGATGGATTAGCTTTCAGGAAACTTGAGAAATTATAAATGCAATTCAGTCTTTTCT